AGTATCTGTGATTGTACAAATAGCTATTTTGAAGAAAACAACGTGACATAAAAGCTAGTGCTGATTCAATATCATCTTGTTTTGAAGTCCCATCAAGCTTTTGTACATCTATTTCCACTGGTTTTAACATGTTGTATCTTACTATATTTTACTATATGCAATTGTATAAACAAAATTTTGTATAGACAAAGAGATAATATAGAAACCATTGTTCGTTTTCTGTTAGCGGGTTCTAAATATCCTGTAATTCTTTCATTCTCTTGAATGGCTTCACACTGTCTTGATATGCATGATGCTATAGTATACGAAGTTATACTCAAATAATTCAAGGAAAGAGGCACTATGATGACTACTATTATGTTAAATTATCTGGTGGTGAAACACAATGATGCTTAAATTGTTCAGTTCTGACCTGTGTTGTTCTGTTACAATGTCCTCTTTTATCTCAATCTCCACCCTTTTTTAAATTAATCTATTTTTTCTTATTTTTTTTAATTAAGGGAAAACTAAATTAAATAATAGCAGGATATATCATAGTAACTTTTTGTTTTCCTATTACCCTGATTTGAACCCCAGTATTGCTCTCCCCATCTTGTTCTGTCTGATTTTACTATATTCTATTTTGTTTGATAGTATCAAATTTGAGGGTATAGGAAACCACTTTGAAAGCAGTAAGATTTACTATGATGCCCATTATGGTTTGACTATTATCTTTTGAAGACCTGTAAGGTCTCCAGTGTAGGTTTTATTGGTCTTGTTCTGTACTGTTTTGATCAATTCTATTATACCTGATGATATAGGCAACTCATTTTAAAAATAGCAAGAGGCACAATGGTAACCACTTTTGATCACCTGGTATTCTATTTTTGCATCATGTACTATGCCCATCCTTCTATTCTCTCTGACTCTGTTTTGCTTAGTCACTAGTCACATTTGGTTTTATTCTCTTCAAAAAAAAAAGTAATAAGAACTGTGGGAGTAATAAAACCCAAAAAGTGTAATTGTTATTGTAAAAAAGAGAGGAAAGGAAGGTGGTCTAAGGGATATAACTGCATGTATGTTTGAGTGTGTAGGATGGAAAACCATATTACTGAGCTTTTGTTGGATCATTGAACGGAACTGTCTGCAATGTCACTGTATGAATGTCCACTTTATATGTTTTAATTTTATAATTTGGACAACTGTTTCCAAGATGACAATATGTAACTATTAACTAGTGATTTCTTACTGTATATTTTTTTCTTGAAATTCTGTATTACTTGTACCCTTTTACTGCTTTGTTTTTTTCTTTTCTTTTTTCTCTTTAAATTAAAAAAAAGAATTTAATATTTTATTGATATTCTGTGTTCCTGTTAATTAAACACTGTATAATATGACAAGACCTTCCTGGTAAAACAGTAAGACCAGTGAGATGTCAAGCATGTTCTACAAAAAGCTTAGGAAGACAAAATACATGTGCTGTCAGTGTACGTGATACATACATATGACAGTGTGTGGAATGTGCTGTTGTCATGTGTGAAGTCTGCCTTAGGTGTGATAATTGAATTAAAAGTTAAAAATTTTTTTGTACAGTTCTATTGATATTTTTATTGCAATTCACATAGGAATTAATTTCTGTTGTTTTTTTTATTTTGTACACCAAAACCCAGTCAATGTTGACAATTTTGAGTGTTTTTCATAAACATGCAATAAATGTTAAAAACTCAACACTTTATTTTTGCTATTTTAATATATAATGTATTGTTTAATAAAATGTAATAAAACTCATTGTTTAGTATAAAATGTAAAACTATACATAACAATGTAACAATAGATACACTACATAATACAGCAGTATTTTATATTACATATATTATATAACAATATTGAGTATATGTAATATATAAAATATTGCTTATAATGTAGCAATATATAACAATATAACATGCAATGTAATATTGCTTAATAATAAAATTCATAAATGTAAAATTAATAATTCACAATAATCTTAAGAATAAATGTGGGTTTTATACACACACAATAATGCACCTTTATGACAAAATTGGTGTTACACCTTGAGAGATACATAGAGAGCTGAAATTCAAACACTGGATGAATAGAAGCTTGATAGGTCAGAAAAGAAAAGAAAATAGTGGAAGAAAACACACTAAAAATCTGACAAGATTTCTGGGAGTTGTATTGAGCGAGTATATGTACTTGTCTTCCACATTTTTCAAATTACACATTTCTTTTATTATCAAAAGTAAATCAGTGACTTTAATCTGGAATTTAAAGTTTACAGTAAAGAGTTAACCTAAAAGAAAAAGAATCTGTCCTCTTTGGATTTCCACCCTAATGAAACTTTAATCTTGTAATACATTAAACAAGATCTTTGCTCAGCTCAATGGACTTTTACTATGCTCAGAAATGCGCCTCTGTCCTTGCTGACTTAAGCACTGTTTTTTTCTAGTGTGTCCTGAGCAGTTCAAAGTCCATACTGAACCGCAAAGGTTTTGCAACCTTCATCAATACAAGCCTAGCAGGAATTCCCAAGCACCCCATTTCAGCATCAAATGAAACCAGAATTTATACTGCCTGGAATCAGTTTCCGGAATAACTTTATTCAAAATAATGCTGTAAACATATACAGACACCTGTTTTCTATGTTTAAGATTCATCTCATTTTTTTCTTCCTTCATTTACCTCGTTTTTTGACTTTTTAAAATTATATTGCACTCAGCTGTAATGTCATCACTTCTGCAAATCCCTGAGTCAGTCAGTGGTAGAAATCCAATTCAAAAGAAAGAGAGAAAGAAACAACGCAAGGGAGTAGGGAAAATCTCTTGGACCTCATAACTGAGAAGCTTTAGGGCTGGCTGAGCCAAAGGGTGCAGGTTATGATGTCTGAAATCCAACTCATACCTTTCAGCTCAATTTCACTTCTGTAGACTGGCAATGGGGCAATGCTGGCAGCCACTAACTCACGTTCTCTAAGTTTAGCAATCCCAGTATCTGTTTTTGTGTGACAGAGGGGGGAAGGGAGGGATGGGTGCACTTTCCCAGGGTCAACATATAAATTCAGGACAGGCTCCTATGAGACCCACCGTGGTCATGTACTCATGACCGTGGCAGGCATGAAAAAGTACTGTAACTGACAATTTGACCAGATCAAATGAAATAAGAGAAGACAGGCGCTCCCTAGAAGAAATAGGCTAGAAAGAGAAAAGTACACACAAAAGAGTTGTTTAAATAACAGCAATAACCCAAATTCTTTAATTTGTAGAGTATTGTTGGCGATTCTTCTTATCTTTAAGAAATAAAGTCTATTTCTCCTTTAAATGCGGGGTTGGTCTCATGACTCCTTGACCAACAAGATGCAGTGTAAGCGAAGGTATGCCAGTTCTAAGCTTTGGCCTCAAGAAACCTCAATCAAACCTTCTTTCTCCCACATAATGTACTCAGGCCAGTCTCCTGCAGGAGTGAGACTAGTGGAGCAGAGCCGAGCCCTACAGTTATTCCAGAAAAGGCCCCAGGCATAGGAGAGGGCCCTGCCTAATCCATCACAGCCTCCCACATCTCTCAGCCATCCACGAACACAGAGTAAGGGTAGCAGAACTTGTTCCAGAGGCCAGCTCAGATGAGCTAACTGCCCAAACAACCTGTAGATTCAGGAACAAAATAAAAGTTTATTGCTGTATACTCTGAGGCTTTGTGATTATAATATAACTTTATTGTAACAACAGGTAACTGATACATTTGTATCTACTGTGTTTCCCCTGCAACTGTAGATGTAGCCAACTGGGTCTATCCTTTCCTAGCCTACACAGAATTTAGTTGTCCATCCCACATAAAACTGTTACAAGTGTTTTTATTGAATTGTTACCATTTGTTTTAAATGGCAATTACAGTCTTAAAGAGCCTATAAATTCTTTAAAAGGAAGAATCATTTAGATTTTTTTAAAAATCCTTTTGAACCCAGCATGGAAGCAAAACATTCGTAGGAATTCTAAAGATGAGTACTACCACCCTAAATAACTATGAAATGCCGTTTGAAATTTGCAAGTTTTTGTTTTTCACATTTAGATCATTAATTCACCTGAAGTTGAGTCCCATGTGCAGGATAAGATGGGGATTTCGATTGTCCCAATTTTGTTCAATAAACATTTCACCCTTTTCCCCTGACCTGTGATGCCAACTCAGAGCAGCTTTCTTCTGCACCTTCAGGGACCCATAACCTCCAGCTGTCCTGCTGCATAACCGCTCCTTTGCCATCACTTTATAACAAATTTTGCATCTGTAGAGCAAGTGGTGCCACCTTGTTCTTTCCTTCAAAATTGTGGCTGTTTCAGGCTCTTTATTTTCCCACATATATTTTACAGTCAGCTTTTGAAGTTACACAGGCACACTAGCGATTTCCTGCTTTTGTTTTAAATTGCACTACATTTATAGTTTATTTGGGAAAAAAAAAACTGTGTCGTTAAAAATGGAATCTCCCTCCATTAACATGATGGAATCCACTTCTTAGATTTCACACTTTTAAAATAATATGTTCAGGATCCAGCGTATCTCTTCAGCTGCACTGTTACCAACGTGGTCCAAGACCCCCACCCACATCTCTGCAGTTTAACCAGCGTGACCTCCATAGATGGCTTCCTCTGCGCTTGGCCTCCCCTAGGGGCTGGTCTCCTCATAGCAGCCTGGGTACATAAAACGGGCTTTGTGTACCATCTAAAGTCTCTCTGCAGCAGTGGTGGGTCTAAAGATTACGCTTTGGGAGACAGACTAAATGAATGAAGGCATGAGTGGATGCTGATTCTATGAAAGGCTCCGGGACTGAAGACACAAGAAAGGAATCATTCCATAAGGGAAACCAAAATGCAAAGCGGAGGCCTCCACCAGCGGGATGAACTTGGTTCCCTACAGAAGCAGAGCCTGACAAGCGCCCAGAAGCAGAAGGCGGCTACTGAGGTCTGGTCTGCAGCCGGGAGGCTCGGACGCACTCGCCCCGGCCCCGCCGGCCTCCCACCTCCGGGGGCGCGCGCGGGGACGAGCTCGCAGCGACGCGCTCCGAGGCGGCAGCGCGCCCGGCCTCGCTGGCGCTTCCGGTAGCGGCGGAGGCGGCGCCGAGTGGGACCGGGGAGCGGCGGCCGGGGGGAAGCGGTGAGTCGCGGGTGGCGGGCCGAGCCGCTGGGTGCACAACGCGCGGGAGCCCGGCGGGGCGCGCAGGCTGGGGCGCGGTCCGAGGGCCCGCGGCGAGCTGCAGGGAGAGCAGGAGGGCAGAAGCCCATTCTCAGGACTGGGGTGCCGCGGGCTGGGGTCCTCCTACACCTTGGGGACCCCCCTCGTGATGCTGCCGGGCTGCTCCCCGCTTCCAGCATCCCGAGGCCCTGGCGCCCCTGGAGTCCGCCGGTGGAGTGGGTCTCGCCCCCCAGTGGGTGGGGGCTCCTCTGTCCACGCCCACGAGCACCCTGCTGAGCTGTCCCCAGCGCACCCTGACGAAATTGTCGCGAGAGCACCCAAGATGGCTGCCGTGGGGACACTCCACCCCGGGGTGGGCGTGAGCGACCGCCAGGTGACCGCGTGGCGCAGACCCCTGTGCCTTTCAGCATCCTAGTTTCTGGCGAAAAGCGAGGCCTGGGAGATAGGACTGCCTGGCCTCTACCTGGGAACTCAGTCTAGTAGCAGATGTGCTACTGGCCCCGTGCACACCTTGCATTTCTGTCTCCTCTCGTGATCCCCACGTGGCAAAGGGCTCTAACGTTCCTACAATGGCAATAACCTCAGTACCTACTGAGTCTGTGCCAGATGGGATAGGTCCCTTTATTTTTACATTCTTCCAGCCCTGTGATGTCCTTGCCATTCTCTCTGTAATTCTGATGGAAAACGGAGAGGCTGGGCAGAGAGGTTGAATAATCTACCCAAGGTCACACAACTGGCATCCCTAAACCAAGGCCATCAGAGTAGCAGCTTAAATGCTACAGCCTGCAGGGTGTTTTCCAGTGCCATGCTGTCCAAATTCCCTCACACAGGCACACCTTTGTTACATTGCACCTGTTTTGTTTTGTTTTTTCTCTTTAACAGCATTTGTTGTTAGTTGAAATAAATAGCATTCACTTGTTTTATTCTCTCCTTGTGAATAGGACCTGGGTGTATCTTGCTTAACCTACTCCCCAACCCTAGCCAAGCAATTGCTTCCACCAGGTAGATCCCAATCAAGATTTGTATGAAACAGCCAGCTCTGCTTGACTTAGTCTGGGCACTTACCAGTCCATAGATCAAAGCCTTCTGATCCCCCAAGGTGTTCTTTTACCTTCTCATCATTCCATTCCCTCTTCTGCTTGCTTTCTAGCTTTTGACCTGAATCCTGGATTCTCTTTCTTTTCCCTGCCTGTCCCTGTTTTATTGAACTGCTTTCATATTCCAAGCATTGTAATACTGTAGGTGCTGGAGGGGAGCAGGGGTGAATTGAGGGGGCTCTGCACAAAGATTTGAAGTACAAGAGGAAACTATCCAGCAAAATGAATGAAGCCCCTGCCAAGAAGTTCTGGGATCTTAAACAGTTTTAGGACTTTAGGGGCCTCCTTGTAAAACTGATGATATTTGGGGAGCAGAATCTGTCAGTTCCCGTCCAGCTCAATATAAAATTCCATTATAGCAAGAGGTAATCTATATTTTGTAGATTTTTAGCCCACATGGTTGTTCAGGAAAGGGATAAGATCTATGGTTGCAATTGTCAGAGAGAAGTCTGCATAGCAATGGGTGGCCAAGATTAAGGATTTTGTAAAATCTTGAGAGTGCTCTTAATTTTCTGAAAATTTTACAAAATCCCATGGAGGTGAAACCAACTGGGAGAGAAGCTCTCTTTTCCCTATTCTTACTTCTGCAAACAAAGCTGAGAGGACACACAAGGCAGCAGTGACCCTTCAGGCAGGTCCACTGTCCAACTTCATTGTTCTCGAATACCTTAGAATAAAATAAGACATCTGCCTACGTCCTGCTGTGCAGTAGTGATGAAATGCATTTAATTGTAATATAATCGTGGGTGGTTTCAACTTTGACTTGTGGTAGAAGGTAAGAAATCAATAGTAGTAACTTTTTTATGGCTATTGTTTTGGGAATAAAACATTTTAAGATAGTACACATACACATTAAGTCTATATATCATATATATATATATATATATATATATATATATATATCCCTTGTGCTTAATTATGCAAAGTTCAGAGTTGAATGTTTAGTTAGCTACTGTTAATTTGTAAAATGATTTTATGGACTTGGGTATGTATAATCTGCAAGTTGATTCTTGTAAGTGGGCGGTAAAACATTCTACTCAGTGTATCCTACATTTTATAGTTTGGTAGTGTTTTATTATGTTTATAGATGGATGTCACCTCAAGAATTGGGGTTGCAAATGATTGACCTTTTGAAGGTTTTGAACTTCACCTGGCCTAAGATGTTGCTTAAGCAACCCAAGAGCGAAGCTGATCTTGAGGACTGGGATGAGAACAGTGATGTGTTGCCGTGGGAGGGGTTTAGCGTTAATGAAAGGGTGGACTCTATATGAGTGTTAGGGAGCACAGGCACAGTGGCAGTCATCCTCAATTCTAGATGGGAAGAGTATGCAAAATGCACACCTGTTGCTAAGTGGAAATGTTCTTTGAAAGAATCTAATTCTTCACGGGAATTCCCCTTTTTTGTCATTAAAATTTGATGTTTTACATGGCCACACCCATAATAAAGAAATGCTTGTTGCAGACAATTGACCAAAAGCCAAAGAGAAGTTAATAAACTGCTTTTTGGGCTGTTTGAGTCAGTGTAACTGTCCATGGCTGGCACTGCCTCTGACCTCTAGAGGACCACAAGTGTGGTACAGAGTCACAGAATTGCCACTTCCAGGCTGAGTCATTAAGTTTGGAACTTAATTTCTTTGAATAATTGTAAAATAGAGGGAGATATCTTAGAAGCTATAATGAGGATTTAGCAATCTAGGACAGTGGAAGCCCAGTGTCTGGGACTCACTGGGCACTCGGTCACATCCACAGGACAGTAAATAACAGTGGCTCCAGTGGGCTGCTTTGCAACTGTCCAGCCCCAGCTGAGGAAGCTGAGAGAGACCCTATCTAAATTCCTTTGCGGCACAGCAGTTTTAACCAACAGGGAATCCCAGTTTAGTAACAGTGATCGTTTTTAATCTAGCCAGGGTAAGAGGCCATTGTTACTAATTTTCTGAGAAAGCACATTTCCTACTATCTGTGTTCTGTGGAATTTCAGAAAATTCTTTTCTAGTAGGCAAACTTTTTCTTTATATGTAGCCAGAAGTTTGCAGTGCAAAAAAATTATTTTTCTTAGACCTTTCTCATCGTGTTCTGCGGGAAGCCAGGGTAGCCAAACTCCATCTTTTCCATCCCTGCTGCCAGTGGCTACATTTAAGGGCAAGAACACAGCTAATGAGAACAGGAATTGCACTCCCCGCTTGTTCAGAATCATCTGTCTGTATTGGGAACTAGGGGCCTCCACCGTACATTTCATAAAGATTTTAAAGACTTCTGTTTACTTCTACTTGGTAAACAGTACCAACTCTGTGATCCAATCCTTATCACCATGTTATTGATGAGAAATGGAGGATCAGGATTATAACTTTCCGAGGAATATACCCTCAGAGGGATTGGGAGAACCAAGACTCGGCCCTAGATAATGTTCATTTAAATCCTTTACCTATTCCAGGGGTTGCAGAGTAAATTCTCAGAATAGGTCACAGGGCGGGAACCTGCCAGGGAAAACAGGCCCAGATAGGATTCCGTGGGGTCACTGAGGTATTTATGCTGCCACAAGAATCTTCTTTTAACTTGCAGGGTACTTGTGCTTATTTATTTTGTGTTTTTGTATTCTTTCAATATCGTATCTCCCAAACTTACCTGGTGTAATCATTAATCATTCATTTTCCATTCACTTCCTTTATTAATACATGTTTGTAAGACATAATGTTCACAGGTTTGTCAGCAGTTGGTGTGTGTACATAACACATCTTCATTCCTTTTTATACCCTTTCCTTTGCTCCCCCCTACCCCCGCATCCATTTCCTGACCCTTTCCTTTTTGGGGCAGGTAGAGGGGATGCTTGTTCTATTTCTTATATAAAGTTTGTCCATTTACTTAACATACTAAGTTCCTTTTTTCAGTCCTCTTTCCTTCCTGTTCCCTCCATTTCTTAATAACCTTCCCCTTTGAGAAAGATGTGTCCCCTACTTCCCATTATTTAGCTTTTATTTTGCTCTTTATTTGTGCTTTGGGTTTCTCGTGTAAGAGAAACCTTGTGATAATATTTAAGCTTGTGTGCCTGGCTTATTTAACTTAACGTGATCTCAAGGTACATCCACTTTCCTAAACATGCCTTAAACTTATCCTTCGTTAGGGCCGAGTACTACTCCATTGTATATAAATACCATGTATTTTTCATTCATTTGTTGATAAGCATATAGACACATAAGGTTTAGCTATTATGAATAGTACTGCCATAACATTTTTATATATGTTTCCCTGTAAGGTGATGTCTTCAACTCTTTCAGGAAGATACTGTACCTAGAAGGGGAAGTGCTAAGTCAAATGGAATTTTTAGTTTTAAGTTTTTGAGGAATCTCCACACTGATTTCCATGGTGGTTATGCTAGCTTACATTCCCACTAACAAGATAGGGATTCTTTTACCCTCCAGCCTCACTAGCATTTCTTATTGTTTGATTTCTTAGTAATGGCCATTCTTTGTGGGATAAGATGGAATTTCAGTGTTGCCCTAATTTGCATTTCTCTAATGGCGAGTGATGTTGAGTATTTCTTCATGTATTTCTCGGCCATTTGTACTTCTGTGAAGTGTCTGTTCATTTCACTCACCCATTTCTTGATTGAATCTTCTATTAGAGGGTGTGGTGGATTGAAAACTGGTAGTCAATTTAAACGCCAGTGAACTGAATCAGTGTGGTACTGAATATAGATGGCCCACCTCAGGACTGCTGCCAGCATAAAAAGGAGATCTAGAGAGGAAGAGTAGCATTGTGGGTTCTCCTAGTTGGTGCTGTGGTTTAGTTCTGTTGGTTCTTTTGGAGCTGTTGGTTCTTCTGGAGGAGCTTGTCATGCTGGCTTCCCTGATAGGCCCTCAGCTGTAA